AGCTCAAATTCTTTGGCTACGTAGTGAGAAGGAAGGACTCACTGGAAAAAAAACCCCCTGATGCTGGGAACGACTGAAGGCAAAGGAAGAAGGGGACAGCAGAGGTTGAGGAGGCTGGATGGGGTCGCTGGGGAGGTGGGTGTGGGGTTGGGTGGCCTCCAGGGGATGGTGGAGAACAGGAGAACCTGGAGGAATGTTGTCCATGGGGGTCGCAAAGAGTCGGACATGACTTTGCGACTGAACAACAACAAAGTATTCTGGTATTATAAGCAACCTGCCAAATCTATACAGTGATACCTGTATGGTTTTTTTTTTTAATTCTTTCGATATCTCACATCTATCAAAAGTACCTACTCCTTTTGCCAGCAAGCAAAGTCCATATTGCCCACCTGATTCTCCATTTTCATACCTGAGCCATATAGCCAATCAACAGCTGTATGAGTTCAAGAAAAAATGAAAGTTAGAGTCATGTGAATTATGACACAAATATTTGTGAATTTTAGGGTGATCAAAACTATTTTTAAATGTTTGACTATGGGCAGCCTTTCAAATCACCACTGGGTCTCTTTGAAAGGACTGTCCATAGCTGTCAAAACAGAGATTGTGAAACGTGTTTTTGAGATTTCTAGAAAAAGAAAAGACTAAAGCAAAAAAAAAAAAAAAGTTACAGGAAACCCAAAATGGTTCATGATTATTATGGGGAAGTCAATACCAGCCACCCTTCAAGCACCTTCTGAGCACTTTGGGGGAAGCTCGAACTGGCAACATGTAAATGAGCATCCTCAGCAGGAATAGGAAGGTGTTTGAAGTTGGTAGATGACTTCCTGTACCTAGGGAAAAGAAGTATCACAGACAAAGTAATGCATTTTGGAAACAACTACTCCAGCATGAGCTATAGGTTGTCCTGATGGCTTACTGCCCTCAAACAAGCCAAACCATGCCATGTAGCCCAAACCAGCCCACAATGGGCTATTGTATTAAGTGAACCCAGTTCCTACAGGAATCATACTGATATTTCTCAAAATGAACTTGAATCCAAACAAATGACAATGTCTATCTTTTTAAAACAGTTTGAAAATACAAATAAAAATGAGATGAACTGGAAAGAAATTTTATATAGAGATAAAAATACATTGTGGGGCAATGCTATGCTCAAAAATTCCTACAATTCCCAGGAATTTCCTGGGAATTAAATGTAAGCTATATTTGGAGTTAAAGGGCTTTTTGAGTTTAGTGTCTACAAAGATTCATGTTCAGATGTTATTGAATCATTTAATACTTAAATGTCATAATAATGTAATATACTACTAATAATAAATGGCTCAAAATGATGGCTATCAATTAGAGGTTTCATAAGCCATATTTTCTTGTTAGGAATCGAAAGAAAAGTGTAATTTCTTCTTTTTTTTTTTTATGGGACCCCATTTGCCCTCTGCATATTTTTACTATGGGAAACCATGGAAAGGCCATTTGATTTTCTCACAGCCAGCACTGCCCATCATTAAACACCTGCCCAAATGCACTATCTGTAAGATGGAAAAGAAACAAGGCATATGCTAACATTCAGTTCAGATACAGCACCAGATAATGGTTTGTCATTACTTGAATTAGATGTGGCTTTCCTACTCCTGCTCCCCACTTGTCTTTCAACAAAAAACTTGTCTTTCAACAAAAAAAGGAACCAGGCTTCAGGCTGGATGTCAGGAAGTACTTCCTGACTGTTAGGACCCCTAGGAAATGGAATGGGCTTCCAAGGGAGGTGGTTGAGGTGTTCATGGAAAAATTGGACAGCCACATATTGAGGAGTACATGAGAGGAGTTGCCTGGAGCCAGCGGCCAGACTAAACGGCCCAGGAGATCCCTTCTGACTCGCCTTGTTTCTATGTTCCATCTTATTTAAAATATTCATGGAAACACTGGGAAAGGTCATCTGAGTTTCAGGGTCCAGTGCCACCAGTATGGAAATAATGCTAACCCAGCTAAATCCAAGGAAGCTGTTAAAGTTCTAAATTAGTGTCTACTGATTATAACAGCCTTGCTGAAGGCAAAAAACCCTTAAAAATAAAAACAAAGCTAAATATTGAGGTGTTTCTTGTCTGTTGAAAAGCAAACTGAGGAATAGGGATTCCTCAGTTTGAATGGGGGTTATACTCTCTATTAATATTCTAGTTAGTTGTTTGAATGTATTCCTGGATTCAGCTTGAATGTGGAAGTCCATGTTTCAGTGGTGGCCAGGAGTATGTTTGCATAGCTAAGACTAGTTTGTCACATATATCAATTTTCAGCACTGTCATTTTCAGTACTGTCCAGCCATTAAGATGCATGCCTTTGTAATATCCTGTTTGGGCTACTCTAACAGGCTCTATGTGTGGCCATGTATGAAAAGGATTCAGAATCTTCAGCTCCATCCAATTACCTCTGCCAGACTGCTGACTGGGGTCCATTATAGCAAGCACTTCACTTTCTTATTACAACAGTATCACTGGCTACCAGTTCATTTCCAGGCACATTTGGAAGTACTGGTTATGATAAAACCATACATGACTTGGGACTAGACTATTTTTAAAGACTGCACTCACCCATGAAACTGCTTGGACTCTTTGTATTCTGCCACCATCAGAGACATATTTGGTGGAAATGCAAGGGAGAGCTTTTTCAGGGATGGATCCCAAGCCCTGTAACTCCCTATCAAGAGAGGCTAAGTTAGTCCTTTGCTTGTTGTATTTCTGCCAAGCAGAAACATTTTTATTCAGGCAAACATTTGGTTTTTAAGCTGTTCACTGGTGGATTTTAATTGGTTGGTGCTCTTTAGAATAAATAATTGTAAAGTATTATTGTAATGCTTTGATTGTATAATACCAAGTTTACTGCTTTGAAACTTGGTGGAAAGATATAAAACTGATCAATAAATGATTTCTTTTTAATGATGTACTCAATGGTTTACTTTTAGGTTTAAATAATAATTTTTTTTAGCTTACATTTCAAAAATAGTTGCCACCTTTACTATAAAGGTGGGGTATAAACACAATAAATAAATACATGAATGCATACATAATAAGATTTGAGAAAGAACACTGAAGTTTGTGGCTTGAAATACTAAAGCACAGTTTGGCATTATTGAGAGCCAGTGCAGTGCAGTGGTGAGAGTGTTGGACTGGGGACTTGGGAGATCAGGGTTCTAGTCCTCACTAGGTTATGAAGCTCACTGGATGGCTTTGGGCCAGTCACGCACCCTCAGCCTAACCTACATCTCAGGGTTATTTTGAGGATAAAATGGAGCTATGCAAGTCACCCTGGATTTTTCACAGAAGAAGGTATATAAGTGCAATGTAATAATAATAATAATAATAATAATGACTGTGTCATCTAAATACACTTGAGTACAATGCTCAATAAGATGAACTGATAATTTAGATTCTTCTATCAAGACTGCCCAGCCTATTCAATGAGTCACTAATAGTTTATCTCAGTTCTCTTCAATACTCCTAACATAACCAGGAAGACCTAGTCTGAAAAGGTTAGGGTTTTCTTCCGTTTTCTATAGTTACAAGCTACAGTAGCCATATCCACATCTCAGCAACAGTTAGAGAGATGTTAATCTAAGCTTGCTGCTTAACAAAAGAAGGACCTGCATTAATACTTCGTATATTAGTATATCGTTCCTTAGTTTTTACAAGAAGCCTCATCTATGGAGAAATGGCATTATGTAATGTGTATTCATTTATGTATTTAGAATGGTGTTGGTACAATTAGCCAGGAAGTCTACAGTGCTAATGCAGAATAGTTTGGCTGCCTAAGATTGCTAGCTCTTCAGTTCACGCTCACACACTATCCACAGTGTACCATGGGGGGGAGCTAGCTTTCCAGACAAAGCAGCTAGTGCTGGTCTGCGGGAGTGTCGGTGTTCTCCAGTCTCTCTCCACCATCAGTGCTGTTGCTGATGCAGGCTCAACACTGCAGGTCCAACATGGGGCTGGTCCTCATATTTCCACTCAGCCACTAGCTCCCCACTGAGGTGGGTACCCATTTATTTACTCATGCTTTCACACTTTCAAGCTGTTAGGCAGGCAGAAGCTGAAACAAGACAATGGGAGCTCACCCACCAAGTGGACTCAAACTGGGGCAAGGCAATGGGGGCTTACCCTGCCACTCGGTCTTCAATCGGCAAGTTCAGCAGCTCAGTGGTTTAACCCAAAACACCACCCCATGTAATGCATACAAGACTAGAAACTGATTGCTATGGTACAGTCTTGCCACACAAACAGTGGCTCTGCTCAATTCTGTGTATCTAACCTTTCATCTTATTAATTTTTCTCTCCAGTCAGATAAATGGCAACACCAGATCATAAGCAAAATCCAAACAGAAACGGGACTATATATCAGACAGCAGACAAAGGAAATGGTCGGATGAAATTTACCCCAAAATAATATTGCTGAATAATAAATAGTATCATAGGATGATTACCAATTGATTCATTATATACCATTTTAGAAGTAATAAAATATAAAATATTGCTAACAAAAGAGTGGCAGAAATCAAGCAGAATCATCCTGTAGCTGTAAAAGATAATGAAGATTCTCATCTCTAGCCCTGATGGTGAACAGAAAATTTAAAAAGTAATTTACAGATGCTTTGTTATGTTTCTTTTGCAAACGAGTGCAAGTTCCCACATGACTTATGAAAAGTACAAAGCTCAATGCATAGGGATCCTTGTGTAACCAGGAGTAGTAGTTCTGTTCACAGAAGGGAGTCTGATCCAGGGGACTATGGAGGAAAAACCATTTCTACAGATTTCCACTGCAACCCCCTTGCCCTTAAAAAAAGCTGCTCCAGAGGGTGAAGGCATGGAGGAATTGGTTAAAAGCAGCTCCCCTTTCATTCTTTAGCAGAGCATCCTATGAACAGAACTACTCATGTACAGTCTGGACTGCAGCCAACATTCTGTCAATGCCCCCAAATGCACTGGAGAATTTGGATTAAAGATTTCCAGTATACATACTTGTTACTTCTTGCAGGAAATCCAAACAAGGTCGGCTACTTCCAGAAATACTTATAGAAACCGCCAGTGGAGTCTGTCCTTCATAGTTCCTTGTATTAGTGTCTGCACCATAGTTGTATAACATCTGTGCACAGAGTACATCATCCCTAAGAGCAGACAAGTGCAATGGCGTCTGTCCATCTTCTAAGCGCCCCAAGTTTGTATCTGCCCCTCGCTGAAGAAACATCCGGCAATAAGAATGATTGCTTTTGATCACAGCATAGCGTAACAGGAAGCCATTTTGAATGTCAATGTTAGCATTATGATCGAGGAGTATTTTGACACAGCTGGACCTTTCACGGATAATGGCCAGCTGAAGTGGTGTAGTACCTTTGTCGCTGAGTGGATCAACCTCAGCCTTGAACTCCAGCAGAAGTCGGACGAATGAGTCTCTGCCATAATGAGCTGCCACATGCAAGGGAGTCCAGCCATCGTTGCTCTTGGCATTAATGATATCAACACGGTAGTCAGACTCCAACATCAGGCGTGCAATCCGGGCTCGACCATGCATGGCTGCATAATGTAGAGCAGTGAAGCCTCCAATTAAATCTTTCACTGTGGGATCAGCTAAAGGTAAAAAGAGAACACAAAAAGAGTTAACTCACTGAGATTACAAAATGGCAGTTCAGAGTAGAGCAAGCATTGCATACATTGCTAAAATTTCTGGGAGTGCATTTTATACAATGGTCTTATCCAGAAGTCTTGCATTTGACCAGTCACTGCTAACTTAATAGCATTTTATAGTGCTGTATTCATCTTATTTACTTAAATATTGTAAAGAATTGGGAAGTTGGGGGAAGAATTAGCGCTTTTTCTTGTCCAGTTTCAGTCACTGAAAATAAACTAGTCTTTAGCTTTCCAACTTTGGCCAATTCAAACAATTCCATAGTATGAGCATAGCAGTGACTGGGGTTTTGTACTGTTCTGATTAAAAAAGTGCACCTCTGCTTGAAAAGCTGTTCTATAAGCTCAGAGGATATAAAATGTGGCTTGTCAGAATGAGGACAAAAGTCAGAAAATTAGAAAAAGGTATATGGCTACAGGAAAATTCAAGTTTATTTTATTTTTTCAACCAAAATGTTGTCACAGCTAGATTTGACTTGAAATTATATCTAGCTACTGGAGTTCAAAGCAACAGCTCATGAATTCACCTGTCACAAACCAAATTCATCCATTTTTAATTTGGACTTATGTATTACATTTTATACTGTACAAAAGCTGAAGCTTTCCAGACAGTTTACAGATTTTAAATACTGAATAGAAAATCTAACACATTTGACGTAAATTATAGGTGACTACCCTTCTTCTCTTTAGAACTGATTCAACATTACCCTGTTAAAAACATTTTGGAGATCTTGTTACATTTGAAAACAATAATTTTTATTTTACAATTCAGTATAGACACAAGTAAAAAGCTACCAACAAAAGAAGCTTATTTTATTTAATGTCTATACCGTCCAACAGCTGAAGCTCTCCGGTACTTGGTAGTAGTAGCACATTGTCGTTGAATGTCTTGTATGAATCACTACCAGTGTACCTAAGTTAAAAGAAATCAGAACAAAAATCCTAACTATAGGCAAAAGTCTCTAAACTGTCTGGAGAGCTTCAGCCATTGTACAGTATAAAATGTAATAGACACATGAAAAGTGGATAAACTTTGTGACAGATGAATTTTTGAACTGTTGCTGTGAATTTCAATAGCTAGATATATGTTCAAGTCAAACAGTGGCAACATTTTGGTTGGGAAAAAAAAAGAATAAAATTGAATATCCAATGCATACAGATAGTTTGCACAATCAAGTCTAACTATTTCACTCATGTACCCTAAATCTAACTGCTCAAAGTATTTCTACCTACCCCAGCCCCTTCAGTTCTAAAATATCATACTTTCAGTGTTTTGTTTTCCCTTATGCCTCTTGGTCTTAAAGAGAAACATGTGTAGCAACATTTGCTGGCCCCGAATGCGGATGTATTGTGGTCTGGCAAGATGAGTTTATTTTGAGGGTGCAATACTGTATAAGGTAAAGAAAATCCTCTGTACTCTGAAGCTCTCCCAAAGCAGGTAAGTGATATGTTATTTCAGATCATCTTGCAAAGAAATGTTTTCTATAAAATGAAAATAATCTGCTATTTCACAAAATATCAAGATTCTGCAAGAATGTAAACATCCAATTCTGAAGAAAAAAGTTATTTGAAATAGCCAGTAAAATTCCAACAAATGACAGTTTAGCTATCTCTCCTTTGGAAATCTGGATTCGTAAAACTTCCATCAGATCTGTGAATCTGGTGGCTGTTCTTAATCTTCCAATATACCTCTCTCACACAAATTTCTTTCCCATCAGTAGTGCTGCCTTGGTATCATCTGCATACAAATCAAGCATAAGATTATAAACTTGCAGCAATTGTGGCGATTTCAGAAAGAAAATCCCAATCTGAAAGTTTATTCTGTAGAAGAGACAATATCTGCTTTTGCAGTGAACCATGATTAAAATAAGAATTGTGGATTACTCCCTGGAATGAAAGTGAGAAAACTGCTCAGATTCTCAAGTCCACTCATTCATTTTATAGCAAAACAAATTAATTTCTTGCAATAATTTCTGGATCAGATCATAACTCTGAACTGGGATTCAGCCTAATGGAAGGTTTACCTTAGCTCAAAATGCACTAGGTTTGTCTGTTTAAATAAATTACATTTTGAACCTATTAAATCTTCCCAGAACCAACCACTGAAAGTAAAGGAGAAGCATGCTGAAGACCTCAAGTCTGTTGCTTAAATTAACCTTGCACTTCCAAAAAAAAGGTACATGTAATCTCAGCATTTGAGAAAATAGAGGGAAGGAAAATCTTAAGAGAAACATGAAACTCTACATTAAGATTAATCCACTTGGATGTGCAATCAATGCATAAATAAGGAATTGAGAACAATCTGATGCAAGAATAAGATACTGCCAATAAGGTGATACCAAGGACATGAGACCCTAAGCAAATTTTTGGTAAACAAATTTAGAAACACCTGAAAGAAGGAAGCCAATGGTCTGGAAAACCATACTGGCAAAGTACAAATATTGAGGGAAAAGTCAGGCTAAAAATGATTTGTGGAGAAGTATGAAAGACTGAAAACAAAACCAAATTCCTTGGAGATGAATCAACATAAAAACATTATCACCTCAAAAAACTGTACAACTGTTTCAACCATGCGAACCTTATCAAGATTGCAAGCACGGAACTTGTCGGTTTTAGATCATGCACAACATTTGTTTTGTATAACAATGTACTATAAACATTTGAATAAAAACATTAAAAAACCCATTCTGGTATTCAGCTTCAAACATTGTGCCGCTTCAAACATGTGGCAGACGCGACAGCCATCCAAACTATGACCTTGCATTCTTGCTGCACTGTCCATCAAATGTGGTTCCAGCACAGGCTTTGTGGCTGTCTTCCTGTGAGCCGCCATGACTACAGCATTTTATAGCAGAACTATTAAGAGCAGTTATAATTTGCTGAATGATTCAAAACCAAGTACCAGTGAGACTTAGTTTTTAATCGCAACAAAAATTGATACTACTAATGAATAATTACAGAAAGTTCCTCAGTAGATAGTTACACCACTGGTGGGATAGAAAATGTTTCAGAGAAAATTTTCTGATGTTCTATTTTATTGTGGAATATTTTCCACAACATACAAACGTTTGTTTATAGTTGTCTGCATGGTTGCACTGCAATCATTCATGCTAGATGGGCAAAACAGAGGACATGAACTTATTGTTTATTTATAATTTGTTTGCCACCCCATAGGCATACAAAGGCTCTCTGGGTGGCTTCTTTATTATTGGGGAAAGTGAAAAATACAGTAGAATCACTCCTTCTGTGCAAAGCACAGTTAACTCCTGGTTGAATCTTCCGCATGGTGTACTGGCCCTCTATTTCTACCATATTTAATAAGTGAAGGAAAACTGAAACTAAGAATGAGATTACTATTTCATTTAAAAACAGAAGAAGAGTTGTGGTGGATCCAGCTCCACCTAATCCAGCATTCTGTTCACACGGTGGCTGAACAGCTGCCCAAAGATCCCACAAGCAGGACATGACCCACCCAGGGAGCCTTGCGGCTAATGGGGCAGGCTAAAATACAAACAATCAAATGAATGAATGAATGAATGAATGAATGACAGTACTTGCCTGCCCATGTCCCCAGGATGTGCCCACAGACCCACATCGATTGTTTAAAGAAACAGAATGTCCAGTTAGTTCTGCTGGATCAGCCTGATCTCAACTTGAAATTGAGCCAATTTTCAGTGAAGAGAGTTGATGGAATAGAAGGCATTACCACTATCTCAGCAAAAGAAAATTTTGCTGTTGATATAGGATGCAAGTCACCCAAAGAGCCTATGGTTAGTGGGGCAGCATATAAAATGAATAAATATAATGAATAATATATCAGTTCTCTCTGGGCATATATTCTTAAATCAGTGTGTTCTTTCAGGTTTTGTCATTTGTTAAATATAAACAAATATACACATATTCTACTCTATTTATAATTTTGCAAGTATTCCCAACCAAATAATTTCTAAAGAAAGCTTTGAATTTACACTTAAACTGCAAGGTGTGCTTTGTTTAATTTTCCCCCATTTTTTCAGTTCAAAAATTTTGCAGCTATTGGGAAAATGTCCAATGTATTTTTCTGATATATTTTTACTGCACTTAAAATTGACATGGATCACATTTTTAGGCATGTTTACTGAATATGAGATGTTTTGTGTTTAGGTAAGTTTACAGATTTGGCATTAAAAATAAATACCGAAGTTTAATTATGCATAAATGAAATATTTTAGAAAGGTGGGCATCTCTTGAATGAAGCCTGCCAAAATGAAATTGCCTAAGCTGCCAGCTGCTAGATACATTTATCTAGCAAATAGTAAAAAGTAAAAAACACACTAGATGTCAAGTATCCAAATACCTGCATACAAGATAGCAAAATACTATCATAGGTATCACTGGTTTTAAAACTATTTTCTGGAGAACCTTGCCAAGGTTGCTAATTGAGAACACTTTGTCATACCAGTGATGTGTGGCAATAGCAGAATCTATGCAAGATATGACTAAGCATTCTTATGTGTGAACCAAATGCCACCTTAGAACCTGCCCCAAAGCTCTTGTATATTACAGAGAATTCTGTCACAGGGAGTCTGAAAACCACTTTCACATACCACTACCAATACATCAAATGCTAAGTACTAATGTGTGCCCAGCCATCACGCATCAACTGCCTGGTATCAAATACTGAAATTGGGTATCACTCGTTATCAAAAATATCAACTACTCAGAGACTATTAGAAGAATATCTGCACATGAAGAGTACAGTTGGCATCAACATTCACAAAGGAATTTTTTCAGGAGCAAATTCATCTGCATTGCAAGCACTATGCTGCCATCTTCTGGCTACATTCAGCACAGGATGAAATTTAAAAAAAAACCAGCTATGCAAAGTGGAGCTTAAAGAACAATACTACTACTACTATTGTGCAGTACAAGGCTCCATTGCTGACATACAAACTAAAACTATAAAATAACAACTAGCTTTTTACATACCCAATGATGAATTACTTTGTTTTAAGGTAAGGAAAGAAAATTTCTATATACTTCAGAACCACATTATCTTACTGACAGTCTGAGTGCATTTTTTTTGCTGAAAAATCTGACCTTCTCATGAAAATGCCCAGTTCCATAACTGTTAGCACCACCTACTGGTAAAGACATCATATTTATGGAGTATATCCAATCACTACATACAGATGCACTACATACAGAACTCAAGCAAAAGATGCAGTATTAGAGCAATCAATCTGCTTCTAAAACTTGAATGCAATTGTTTTTCTTTCAAATATAGCCACAGGCCAAGCAAAGGGTACCTCCTCTAGTGCAGCACTGTGAACTGACCAATAAGGAATGTGAAAACTAACACCCTTGCCAGAACACGAGCAATGAGATAGTTATTCAATTTTTTGAGCAGAACTGAATTGTAAGATCCAGTTTTCCTTTCATGTACATGAATTTATTTCCATTCAAAACATTCCTGCTTCCACTTGGTATGTTTAGTGGCTCCCAATGTGTAGATATGGGGCACATGATGCTTTGTCAGAATTTGACAGAAATGTGGTTCACTCAGATCCATTTATTCTTGCTTCGGTGCTAATTCTAAAAGCACTTTAGAATTTCCTTCAAAGTTTCCATATTTTAGATTCTGTTCTGTCATCTTGACTCCATTTTACGGGCTTTACATGCCAACATATTGGGTCCAATTCACGATAGAAAACACATTAACAACATGCTGTGTTCAAGCAGGAGACACACAAAAACTTCTACTGGCTAGTTCCCACCTTCAGGAGTTCTGGAACCAATCATGTAACCCTTTACGTGATCATACATTAGTTAAAACACTTAACAGAAGAATGTTGTGGTGGACTTGCTATTACATAGCTTGCTTCCTCCATTTAATTTATTTTTGCTGCTCCTTGTTCAGTTATATTGAACTCACCATTATGTTATGGAAAAACTTCAAAAACAGACAAAGCAGAAAAGAATTTAAAGTGAATGCCTGAAGACTGAAAGTTAATCTTTGATTAGACAATCTGAAATTTTCTTTTGAATCAACCAACCTCCATGCTCAAGGAATACACGAACACATCTTTCCTTCCCTCTTGCTGCTGAGAAGTGGAGCAAAGTCCAGCCATTGGCATCTCGACCATTTGGAGAATAACCCTGCTCTAACATCTTGCGCACAGTGTGAACATCCCCAGCAGCCACTGCAGCCTGAATCTGCAATTCTTCCTGTAGCTCAGGGTTCCTCCGGCAGTGGTGATGTAACATCCTCGCAGAATCTGCCTCCTAAAGCAGGATCATGAGGTCCAACTGGTCACCTTAAAGTGACAAACAGCAAGTACAAATCAGACAGTGGGAGGAGTAAAAGCAACACAATCTCTTGATCAACAACTGTAGCAGCAAGACAGAATACAAACATCTGTACAGGGCGACCCATTCATTAGAATGCCCATACCTCACTATAGCCCCAAGAAGCCATTTTGAAGGAGGGAGGTCCCTCTGGAGCATCAACAGACATGAGAGGTTTCCTGGATCCCAGGCATGACTTCTTTAAAGAAAGTTTTTGTCATCAGAGACAATCACAAATACAAAATTTAAAGTCACATTTGCTATTATCTATTCCTGCTAATACCCAAAATTGGCAGATTATAGCACAATGGCTGAAAGGTCGTATCACACCAATATGATAGCATTTCAAACAGCAGTCTTAAATTGTATTCTGTCATAAAAATTGAGTTTCAAATCAAATAGGAAAATGAAACATGCCTCATTTTAAGAATTATTATTCAAACTCAAGGTAAGTGTCAACAAGCATGCTTTTTTTTTACTCAGAAAGCTGTGTAGAGAAAAAAAGATTGAGAAAACAATCTGTAGTAAAACAAACATATAATATACCTGATGCTATATTTCAAGTTTCCTATGAAATATAGTGATAAAGCACCAAAGATCTTATTTCACAAAATGTGCACAAAATGTAATGTCCTGAAACACTACCTATATGTTACTTGCAAACAGTGAGATTAACCACACTGATTTAAAGAAATAACCTATCCAACCAAATTGTCTTATGGTTCTCATAAGGTTTTCCAATCTGTTTTCAAACATAGGAAAGAAGTAGCAAATCTCCATCTTTGGCCTTGCAAATTTACACAAAAGAGCAAAATGATGGGGTCAATCCCTTCCACATCACCCCACTAAGTGGCAGAGAAATTCTGCAAAAATTATGATTAAAAAACCTTAGGTATCAGAAGCAATTATATGTACATAAAGCTATTAAGTGAAATTTATGTAGTACTGCACAGTACTAACCAGAGTTGGCTTGGTTGCCCACCTGACATTGTCAGTGAAAGATCATCTGCTGGTGTTGTTTCCTGTTGCTGCCCAATGGCTGCCTTACAGCAGTTTCTCTGCCCCCATCACCATTACAGATGCCCATTCTCTTCTGCTGATCTTACAGTTATTTGTTAACCGGTGGATGCATCTTAGTGTGGTGTCCCAGCTTACGCCATACCACCACTTGTGACCAGAGTCGAGAGACCTGCTAGGAGACTGGACTAGAGAGAGAGTCTGGACTTCTGGTAGCATTGCTCTCCGCTTCTCTAAGCCTCTCAAAGCCCCTTACTTCATTAAGGTATGCATCTAAGAATACCAAATACTAATGTTTGAAACAATTTTAGTTTTTTATTAAAATTATTTTTCTGGCAGGCTAACTTAGAAAAAGTGTTTTATAATATAAATGAAAACAGAAGAAAAACCCAGGATGAACATTTTTTGTCATTTGCCTCCAGCACTGGGATATTTGTTCCCAACACCACCCCTGAAAGGAGCACTGGATGCAGAGGGTCTGGATGTCCTGATTATGTCTGATTGAAGGTGGACATCTCACATAGAATGACATAGAATAAATCATTTCATTAAAAAGGTTACCTTATAGGGTAGAGGTCACTTTTTGTTTTCCATCTTCATTATACAGTTCCTTGTTTACATTTATAACCCATCAAGTATATGCTTCTCCTTGAAATAAGCAATACAGTCTTGTTAGATCAAAGCAACCAAAATACAAGAAAAATGTTTATCCATTGTCAAATGCCACACAGATTGCAAGCATCATAACATTAAACAACTGATGGTACAGTAGAATCAGTTCTGTCAAAGACACTTATTTTAGTCATTTAAGTTGTTGGAAAAGCAAGTTGGAGGAATAGTGCAGGGTAGTCAAAGAAAACAAGAGTGAGAAAATGAAACTCTGGGACATTTGCATCTCATTTCTAGAACATGCTAACACCCTAGAGAGTGTCAAGCCGAGCAGAGCAGCTGAATAATGGTCCGCTCCCTCTGCCCTATAAAAATATAAACAAAACTTACCCTGAAGTTATAAGGGAAATAAATATTATTCTTCTTGAAAATACATAATATGCAGGTTAAATAACTAAACAGGGAAGATAACTCAATGGAATGTCACTGTTGGGTTTTAAATAGTAAGCTTTTGCATCAAGAGGGCCCTATTTCTGCCCTGGTCACAGCATCAGAGACCTAGTTCCTCCAATGGAATTAAGTGATGACCTCTATAGGAAACCTAGTACATTTAACAGAGCTCCCAAAAGCTCTGCTGTCTTTATGTCTTTACTAACATCACACACTCTATGATATTTGCAGTCAACTAATTGAGGTGGTTTGTATTTCATTGTAGTGTACCTGACACTTATTTTAGAAAAAGAATATTTGCCTACCCATTACACTGCATATGCATGGCTTTGCCTTATATACTCTAGCGTAGGATGTCCTTGATTAAACCTGGGAAACCTATCTATTGCTGCTAGACTTAGGTTTTTACAAAGTAGATGCAACCTATGTGCTTATGATTTCTGTACACAGACTGCTCCTCTAGGCTTCCTTCACCTCATCTTTGCTCTCTGCATTTCCTCATAGGCTATTCTGCTCATCTGTCAGTGTTCTGATGTTGTGCCAGCACTGACCGTAGTTCTGGCACATTGGAAGCTGCCTTGCACTATGCCAGACTTCTGCTGCATCTCACATAGTACTGAGTACCAGGGAACATGTCTCCAAAGGTTGAGGGAAGACTCTTTCCCAGGGTAACCTGGAGATGCTAGGGGTTGACCCAAGCCCTTCTGCATGCAAAACACATATTGTACTGAGCTTCATACTTCCCTCAAGACTTTGCTATTATTGATGTGACTATGCTCTCATTTTACCTTATTCACATAAGGTACACAAATCGATTGCCAAGAAATATTGAAATGTTGTGGAATATTGGGGGTTAGCAGGCAGGGAGAGAAGAAAATCAATAACTTTTTATGTGGGCAAAAACAAATCTCACAATATAAAGTCATGTTAGGAAAAATCAAAATAAAGCAGAGCCTATTTTCTGATATTAAAAAGCCTTGGAGCAATTACATATAAATCCAAGGTTACTGTATTCTCCACCTAGACAAACAGAATTTTTCAGAAGCAATCTTAAAATTGTTTCTCTAATGATTTCAGCTAAAGACAGGATGGGAAGTGAAAAATACTAAAGCACTGCTAAGTGTTGCTATGCAATACTAAACAGCAGTTATGCCACTACGTTCATCAAGTAGCTGCATTTCAACAATAAACAAAATATTAGTGAAGAGAATTTTACTTCAGTTTGAAAAACAGGAAGTCAGCACTATCCCACTAACACTGCAAGTCCTGTAAATGCCCCACATCAGATGTGCAGTGAAGCACTGAGACAATAAGGGTGTGATCCTATGCATATTCAAACAAGAAAAAGTCCTTCAGCTGCCAGCATCCCTACAAACAGCCAGTTGTAGCTACTTTGAAACTATATCTGGGGAAATTTTTCAGCATGGGTGCCACCCTTTTAATGCTAATAAGCTCAGACTGTGCATGATGTCCCAATTCAACTATAAAAAATTTGTCTCCACTGTATTCAAAAGGTCATCTATAATTTTCAATGCACAACATTTGACAAAAGTATTGTAATTTGAACAAGTGCAGACATGCTTATATTATGGTCATAAAGACTACACAGAAGTATTGCAATGCAAGCTGTTTAGTGCTTGACTAAATAATAAATATTGACAGTAAAATATGAGTCAAGGTTTAACATAAAATTAATTTCAACCAAACTAAGAATAATGCTATAACACTAAAACCAATATATTCCAGCCTTCACAAATATATTGCCAGTGAAATATTCGAAGATTCTTGCAATACCAAAGAGCTCCCTAAAACCAGGCTGAGCCTCACTGAACAAAAACAGTATTTGACTCTTTCACTATGAAAACATCTGACTGCAAACCCTAATCACAGAAGAAATTACACTGTCAGGGAGCCACCCAGTTCAGCTTACTACGTAATAAGGGAAGATACACACAAGTCCTGAGCCCATCTTATCTGTCCTCAAGACACCCCTTCCTTTTTCATTACACAATCATTAACCCAGGAAGTCTCCAATAGACCAATAAACCCTAATCCAAACCCAATTACATCAAGTACAGAGAACTTTTATCACCAGAGTAAGAACAAACCAGGATCTCAAACGAAAGTTGAGCCATAGTTTAAAAATCTAGTTTGTTCAGAACCCACTGTAACCATACCTTCCCAGTTCAGACTTACAAGAAAGCTAGTTAAGTGAAGATTTCCTGGGTCAATTGTAGTGCACTGAAAAGGTGGGAAACAGCACTTTAATGGCAGTGTAGGCACAAGGTTTATGCATATCTTAATTTATTATGCTGAGATGTGCATGTCCTAACTGGGCAGGTGTAAATAGAACCCAGAAATTTAAGCTCAAAACTACAGATCTGGAAATTAATCCAGTGCTCTCAATCCTATGTAGATTTACTTGGAATGAGTTGCACTGAATTAAGTGATTTACTGCCAAGTAAACATAAGCAGGATTGAACTGCAAAAACTGCTTTTACTGGACATGCCATGTAAAAATCCTCTAGTGTAACTTCTATCAAACTTGGGACTCTTTTTACTATTGGCTAGAGAAATGGGATTTGGCATAGATTTAAATATGTTTTTAAGTTATCATAAATGGAAAAAGAAGGGTGCGGGGGCTGACTCAGCGGGCTCGATGTTTTTGATGATGGATGTTGTTTGTAGTTTTCTGTTTTTTAGGATTATAATTTCAAATAAAACTTATTAAAAAAATTCTCTAGTGTAGCCTGCCAACATGCAAAGAGCAAAAACAATTTCACTTGCACAACTAAGGGCTATCACGATGGAAACTATGTTAAACAACTACAGCAGCAAATTGTTATCAAGCCCCAGATAACAATTCTGGGTATCAAAACTCATAAATTGGTGTAAAAAAATAAGTGTGCAGATTTTCACCTGAATGCTCAGTTCTTCCATTACATCTTCACCTCTTGACTTTTGTTTTGCATTCAAAATCTGAAAATTCCTTCTGCAGAGACATGAGCCTGAAATGACAGACGAAAGAACCACGTTAGCAGGTGGTACAAAATAATTTCTCTGCAGCCCACTTGATTTATTACATTTTTCCAGCCTTCCATAAAGGCAACCAGGCAGCTTACTTGTGTTACCCCCAAACCCATGCCATCAGTTTATCTAGGCAAGAACCCTGTGAGGAAAGTCAGGAGGAAATCACCCATAAAATATCCCAACTAAGTAGGGATTTGAAACCAAGTTCTCCTCACACGTAGTCCAACATTCCAACTACTGTGTTATTCTGGCCAACCAATACACCAAAGTCTACAATAGTGTGCTGAAATTGTGTAGCACAGGAGTAGACAACTAGTTCTGGCCTATCTACCATAACCAAATGTGAGGGCTGATGAGAGATGTTTGGAGGGCCACAAGTTGCCTGCCCCTGGTGCACAGTAGTAGATCCTGCAAGATTTAAAGTTATGGTTTCCAACTACTCTGAAAGACTTATTTGTCTAGCCTGCTACTCTGTTGTGTTCAAAGTTCTACTGTAAAGAAATGTTACACACTCCTTTTCACATAAATGGGCCACCAGAAGAAGTTCGAACAAGAAACAGAGAACTTGATTTAGGAAATGGAAAAAGTGTTCATTGGGAAATAGTTCCTTACTGTGAAATGGCTGAACAATAGAAGACTTGCCCAAGATGCAATACTCTATCCTTGTACCCAGAAGTAAGCCACAACAAACTCAATGATACTGGCTTTTAAGCAGTGTTGAGGACTCAAGTTGAGCACCTTGCTCCCAAGTCCGAATTGAGGTATGCCAGGATTCAACTCGGGAGTAATGAGCTAGTGACTTGACTCTACACTTTTTACCACCAAGTCACTCCCAGGCAGCGGGATATCCTGGAAGGCAGGCACAAACACAGCAGAGGAGGGGGGAGGGAGCTTCAAGAGGGTTTGGGAAGGATACAGATTTTAACCACTGACAGAAGTACAGATGGGAACATCAGGGGGGTTACAACTCTCCCACCACTACCACCTCACACACACCTACCACCTCTCTTTTTTCCATTAAAATTGGCTCTTGAAAAGAGACTTGGTATTTGACTTGAAAATTTCTTGCAATGACTTGAAACTCGAGACTTGAAGTAAAGGACTTGAACACATTACTGCTTTTAAGCGGCCATCTAATGACAATTTCTAAGCAATTCAGAGATTTAGGATCGTGTCCAAAGTATAAAACCACTAAGCCAACACTCATATGTCCAGATCCAGATGAATGGATCTTCCAGTAGCCAAGCTTGTGATTCTATCAAGGTCATTGTCATACTATGGTATAGCAACAAGCAATGGGTCATCAACACAACAATCAATAGAGGAACCCTCAAAGACCTGATGTAATGAATCTGCAAAACACTTTGAAGATAAAATCATTCATATGTATGCTGACAGTGCAGTGCCTGTTCAGGTGTCTAGTGGATTGTCTTATCCTCTTTTATGGGATCAATATCAGCCTCTGGATGTGGACAATGTGGACAGGATAATGGCAGACTCTCTCTGCCCTTGCCCTTCATGTCTTATTCAAACTAGCTATATGGCGCACTGGACAGTTAAATCAAGGGAGTGGTGAATGATGTGGTTCCTAACTGCCTGAAAAAATGCTCCCTGGATCCAGAAATTTATGCCATCTGTTGTCTGGTCAGAAATACCCCATTCCTGAGTATGTTGCTCAAAAGAGTGGTTTCATCTATGCAGCAACAGCTCTTGAATGAAACTGCTTCCCTAGATCCATTTAGTCTGGATTCAGGTCCAGTTTGGGCACGGAAGTGGCCTTGATTGCTCTGATGGATAAAATTCATAGGGAGAGGGCTAAGGAAAATGCAGACATTTAATTACCACTGGATCTTTCAGAGACTTTTGATATCCTCCTGGACCACCTTTGAGTTGGAGGAACTGTTTTATAGTGATCCAATATTGCTGGTTCCAAAGAGAAATATTGGATGACTGTACTTCAGCCCTGCAGCAACTGAATTGTGGACTGTCACAGGGTACCATCCTGTCCTGAACGTTGCTTAACATTTATATGAACCTGTTGAGAGTGGTCAGTAAAAGGTTTGGGGCAAGGTGTTGCCACTGTGCAGATGACACCCACCTATATTTCTCTATAAGACCTGGATCAGGAGAGGCCATGAATGTTCTGAACCAGTGCTTGGATGCAGCTATGGTTCGGATGAGAACTAACTGAAACTGAATCCTGGTAAGACAGAGACACACTAGGGGTTTGGCATTCCCAACTCTGGGAACTGAACGGTTTGTCTGTTCTGCATGGGATTGCACTTCCTCTGAAAGAGCAGTTATGTAGCTTGGGGTGATTCTGAATCCATATTTGTCACTGGAGCTCTCAATGGCTCTGAGTGCTGATTACCGACTTCTGTTGGGAGAACAGCCATATTCATCCCTGGGTAACAGTAACACAGCCATAACGATCCATTCACTGGACTACTATAATGTGTTTCAGATCCAAAAGGATCTGGCAGACTATGGAAGTGGGCAGGAGACAAGAGGATGGCGTGCAATGTGGATAAGTGCAAGGTCTTGCAGTTGGGGCATAGGAATGGGTGTCATAAGTACAGGTTAGGGGACAAGGGGCTGGAGAGCAGCACTTGTGAAAGGGACCTCGGGGTACTGGTTGACTGCAGGCTAAACAGGAGTCAGCCGTGTGATGCAGTGGTCAAGAGGGCGAACGCCACCCTTGGTTGCATAGCCAGAAGTGTGGCTTCTAGATCAAGAGAGGTATTACTACCATTCTATGCGACTGGTGCACCTGCAACTGGAGTATTGTGCTCAGTTTTGGGCCCCTCATTACAGAAAGGATATAGCCAGGTTAGAGTCAGTGCAGCGCAGGGCCACAAGGTTGGTGGCCGGTTTGCAGGGGATGGGGTATGAGACGAGACTGAGGGAATTGGGTCTCTTCAGCCTGGAGAAGAAGACTCAGAGGGGATCTGTTGGCGACATACAGGTATGTGAGGGGATGTCACAAGAAGGTGGGTAGAGGCCTGTTCTCCCCTGCAGAGGAAGGCAGGATGCGCTCCAACGGAGCAAAGCTCAGGGAGCCAAGGTTCCATTTAGATGCCAGGAAGCAGCTCCTGACAGTTAGGATCCCGAGGGTGTGGAATGGGCTTCCATGAGAGGTCATTGAGGCCCCATCGGTGAGGGTGTTCAAAGATAGGCTGGACATGCACATGGTGGGCATGTCGTGAGCAGAGCCAGCTGGAGCCAGGGGTCAGACTAGATGGCCCGGGAGACCCCTTCTGACTCTATGTTTCTAATGTGCTCTATGTGGGGCTACCCTTGTTCAGAAGCTGCAACTGGAGCAAAAGGTAGCAACTAAGGTGCTCACTGGGACACCCAGCTATGTCCACATAAAATCTTTGCTAAAAAAAACAACAGCAATCCTGCATTGGCTGCTTATAGCTACCATACCGTATTTGAGGTTATGGTACTGTCAAGCAATACCATAAACAATTTAGCACCAGGATACCTAGCAGTCCACCTTCTCTTACACAGACCCAACCAACTGAACAATCAGAGATTTCCTAGCCATTTCAAAGTTATCAGTTTGTTATCCTGACAGATCTTCTTGATGATGACACAACAACACTCAACAGCTGAGGCTTAAGGTAAACAGGAACAATTATCCTCAGGGAGCAGGAAGACTCCTTCATGCCTTCAAACTCCTCCTGAAAACATACCTGTTCATTCAGGCTTTTTCCAGCTTGGAATTAAAGCAGTTATATGTTGCTATTATTGCATTGTTCTGCATTATCATTATTGTAATTGTGTTCCGTTGTTTTTAATATTGCACTTTAAAGTGATTTATATGGGATTCACTTAGAGATCTTTAAAGTATTTAGTAGAATAACAACAGTATACATAATAAAATCAAGGAAGGTGTTCTACTAGGTAGTCTGCCCTAAGTTATTAAAAACTTTATATACTACCTATAAGGCACTGGACTTGGCAGTTACTAAGAGATAGCCAGCGATGCTGCTTCAATACATGCCCTGCCAGGTGCCCTTTTCAGCATCCTAGCATTCTGCATTCTGAAGTTGCAGCTTCCAGATGAAACATAAAGATGGTGCCATATAAAGTTCATGACCGTAATTTAAATGTGAGCTTACCAACATATGAACTAAAGTGGCCAGACTAACCCTCTTTATGAAAGGGTTAGGGTTAGGCTGCTAAAATGACTGAAGCAGGTAATAGGCACTCTTTTCCACAAAAGTCACTTGAGCTTGTAATAATGAGGAACCTATGAGTACCCCAAGCTACTTACCTGATTTTTTTCTTGGGGAACACAGCCCCATTTATTGAATCCAATATTCAAACCTAAAAATCTTAAAAAGTGATATCAGAGTTGAAGAAATAATTTGGGATGATAAATATGCTCCCCAAATCTGACCTCCAGATGACTTTGATTTCAGCTCCCATCAGTATAATAAGGACATGAAAGAAAGTAAAACCTCTGTAATACTAAAGATAAAACTGCAGCTGGGATGACAGGTAAAGAGAAACAATAACTACTTTAGAAAACGTAACAGAAAAATGATGCATAGCCAGAGGAAAATACAATGGTTATTTGGACAGGCTCTTTTCGAGAAGGTAGAAAAAATGAAGGAAAGGCACACAGTAAAATGTGGGCATCCTTTCATGGCTGTGGTGGAGCACAACAGGATGGATTGGAAAATCTCATCTTGAGTGGGGAGATGGAATATGCCATTTACACCCACTGTCTCTTTTATAGCTAGAAACTTGTAGCCATTACATCTTTGGGCTCTTTTCTTTCCCTCTTTGCTAGTACTCTTGACTTTAATGAGGAGATTAATGGGGAGTTTCTCTGTAACCCTCCTAAATACCAATCTAAAAATGCATTTCCCTCACCACCCACTCAAGGAAGAAGTGCTATGAAAGGTCTATGTCCTCCTTAAACATGGAGAAAGTGGAAGCAGTCATCTTAAACCTTCCTGGTTCTCCAAACTTCTAGGCAAGATCAACACCAGCAGCAATCTTCAATATTAGAATCAGTGGAGACCTTCCTATTCTATACTGGTAGAGCAGCCCATATAACACCTGCACCAAAAGAACACTGGTTACCAGTTGTGACTTAAGGTGCTTGTTTTGACATATAAAGCTCTAAATGGCTTAGGCCCTGGTTATCTAAAGGACTGTCTGCACCATATATACCTACCCGGCCTTTGAGATTGATGAAGGGTCCCTTTTGCAGGGAGCTATCCCTCAGGGAAGTAGAGGGGTGGCTAACAGAAAGAGGGTCTTTTCTGCTGCTGCTCCTCCCTGTATTTGAGATGTTCTCCCTAAAGAGATTTGCCTGGTGCTGTGTTTGAATTCTTTTTGGCACCAGGCAAAGACTTATCCTTTTAAAAATTTCTCTTCTGGATACCACTATGACCTGTGGGGTAAGTTAATTTATTGGAATTTTATATTTGTACTAATTTATAAATTAATTAGGTTATTACTGTTTAAAGTTTTATTGCTGAGTTTTTAATATTGTGAGTTATTTGGATGTTATTTTAGTATTGTGAGCCGCCTAGGGGGCCATTGGTGGAATATGTGACATATAAATATTTCAAATAATATTCTAGCCCATAAATTTCACTTTATCTTAAAAAAGGGGGGAACAACCCTTACCTTTCACCCCATCACCATCTCTTTATTTTCCTCCTCCACAAGATGACTCACCCTCACTTTGTTTCTTCCCCACCAAAGCAGGGGGATACCCTTCCTTCTTGCACTTTTTCTAAAGAAGTAATGTAAGAGCATCCCCTCCCTCAACTCAAGTATTTTGGACAAATAGTTTTCCCCGTTCCTTACAATATAATCTTCCTCTTCTCCCAGATCCAATCTCCATTTCTTCTGCGGAGGGAAGAAAACTGTGTGGAAGAGGCCTACCCTAACTTACCAACTCCTTTAACCCAGCTCCTTGAATCTTGCGGGGGTAGGATGGCTGAATCACACTCTATTTCCACCACTCAGCCAACTTCCAACTTCACCCTTTCTTCACTACCCCATCATTTACTTCCTTCTGCCTTTTTAAAAAGCAAGCCATCTCTATCTGCCCTCCTGCTACCAGTCCAAACTCTACAAATAAGTAGCTTTATTTCATACCTTCCACTCCCCAAACCCCAAATCAAGAAAGAGACTTCCCACTGCAATTCTAACCACTCTAACAGGGGAGCAAACTCGACAGAACTTACTCCTGACTAAAATAATACAAATAATAAAAGAACCAGGATTAGATGTAAGTCCAGCTTCCTATTTTGAGTGGCTGGGGAGTGGGAAAGAGGACAGACTTATTACTTTCTTAGGTCCTTGAAACGTAAGTTATTTAAGCCGATCATGTGAAGTTTCATACAATAAAGTACCGCAGCAAACACTGGGACAACAAAACGTGGAGAAGTTATTCACTCGAAGTACAAATTCTCCCCAGACCTAAGAGAACCCCTAGAAATATACTGATACAATTGGCAACAGAAGGAAGCGAGGGGAAGCAACCGGCCCTCCCGAGCGCCCCACCGAGGATGAGCACCCCCAACAGCCCCTGCCCAGGAAGGTACCCAAGCAGGCGCCCCTCCCAGGTGAGCCTCACCCAGCAGCTGCTGCTCCACCTCCTCCTCGCCGCTTCCCACCCTGCGATTGGGGGAGGGGGCCGCTAAGCCCCTCCCCCCTCGCCGGCCGTTACCTGTCTGTCTTTCCGCCTCTGCTCTGGGCCCGGCCCAGCCGCCGCGCCTCAGCCGCTTCTCCCGGCGCGGACGGAGCGAGGTGGGAAGGGGGGCAAGGGGAGCCGCCGCCCTGCGGGGAGGCTGAAAGGGGAGGCTGCAGAGGGTGGGCGACCGGAGGGAACACACTTTGCACCGACTGACTGACTGAGCCAGCCACCTCCTCTCCTCACTCCGGGGTCACCGGGCAGGGGCTGACCCCGGCGCCCAGCCAATCAGCGCCCGCGCTCGGCCCCCCTTCACCTCGCGCCGCAACCCACCGCCTCTCGCGATTGGGCGGCGCGCGAGGGGGTTCCGAAAGCTCCGCCCACCCACATCCCTGCGGTCTCCTCCTCCGCCTCTTCGGGAGTCTGTGTGTGTCTTTTTCTCCCCTTTCCTTCCCCTCCCGCCCCCCAAGGGGGTACAGGCGCGCGGCAGTTCGTGTAGGCACTTCCGGTGTGAAATGGGTAACTTTTTCTTTCTTAGCTTGCTTTCTAAAGCCCGGAGTAAGGGAAAGGGGGTTTTAACCATAGAGGCGTTGAAGGTAGAGTGGCGTCGCTCTGCGTCCCGGAGAATAAAAGACTAATTGCGGCGTTCTTGTCTCTATGGTCGCCCACCGGAAATTTGGTTTGCATGTGAGTGTCACTCTTCACTTTTTCATATGTCTTTGTCGTACTGCTCGCCTGAAAAGAGGAAGAGTTTTCGACGCTGCCGTAAAGGTTCAGTCGGGATTTTGCGATGTCGATGGGAGGAGGTCGGTGCGGGCGCTGCGCGTGGTCTGGATGGCAGCTGGGGCTGGTTGCCTAGCAACGCGGGGGTTCGTGGTGCTGAGGCTGGCCTGTGGGTGCTGTTGGGGGGCGGGGGCGGCGCGCTGACTTTCAGGCCGGGCCCAGCCTGGCTATGGAATGCCGTGGTAGAGTCATGGGCAGAACGGACTGTACCGTTGCAGACTTACAGGAAATCAGATTTTTTTAAAAAAAAATACCCCGTATTTATGCCACCCACCCCCCGGAAGACAACTCATTTTTCCTCATGCCGCTAGAAAGCAAGCCCTAGCAGGTCATGGAGTTAAGGTGAATTCTTCCTGTGCTAGTTCTCCATTTGTAGGCACTAATTTAAGGGAGAGAATCTCTAACTTATGGTAACCCTGTGACCGAAACCCTTCCAAAAACCCTAGTCCTGTTCAGCTCTTGTGTCAGTCTTATAATTGGGCTTCATCTTCTCCTTCTGCCTTTGACTTTCCCTAGTATTATTATCCTTTCCTGTGAGTCCTGCATTCTTATGATGTGCCTGAGAAATGACAGTCTCGGGTTTTTTTCCTTTTTTTCTTCTTTCAGGACATGTGGCTCAATTTGATCTACGATCCACTTGTTCATCTTTTTGTTGGTCCAGTGCATTGACATTCCTGCATTATTTGAATGCATCCATTTTCTTCACTGTTCAGCTTTCATACTTGCATGTAGTGATTTTGAATATAGTAGTAGATGGCCTTGGTTTCCAGTGAAACATCCTTACAATTGAAGATTGTTTCTAGTTCCTTCTTTGCTGCCCTTCCTGTTGTCTAATTTCTTGGCTGTAGTCTCCATAAGTATTGATGACTGAGCCGAGGTATGCAAAATCTTTCACCTTTTAAATTTTATCACTGTTGACATCAAAGTTGTGTGATGTTACTGTAGTTGTGCTTTTTGTTTGTATTCATCTGCAGTTCTGATTTTGCACTTACTCCTTTTGCTTTCAATTTGTTGCAGGAATCATTTCAATTTGTTGCAGCTTTCTGCCAGTAATATGGCATCATGTGTGTATCTTAATTTATTGATGGATCATCTGCCAATTTTCATTTCTTCCTCTGATCCTAATCTACCTTTTGTTATAATATGAGCTGTGTGCATATTTAACAGACAGGGAGATATAACACACAGTTGTCTGATGCCTTTGCCTATGTGAAACCAGTCTGTGTCTCTATGTTTTACCCTAATAGTAGCTTCTTTTAGGTTCTGCATCAGGGCAAGCAAGTGCTGAGGCATACCTATTCTTTTGAGAACCATCCAGAGCTTCTTGTGGTCAACACAGTTAAATGTCTATAGACTGATTTTCTTCTGAATTTTTGGTACCTTCTAGTAGCCAACATAGATAAACAGGAGTCTCCAAATGGGGCTTGAAAGATTGTACCAGTGGGGAGATGGTATTTGTGACTGGGACTAATGACCATCTAGGTTGATGTACTTTCATAACACACTTTGTGTAGATTTTCAGAGAATTCAAAATCCTTCCTATTATTAACAGTCCTCCCTTGTGGTAGCTACAGGTTTTGAGGGCCTTGGGAAAGACGCTCTTAATGCCTCTCTCCCTCACTCAGTGTAACTACCTTCTTTCTGCCATTTTTACCAGCTTCTGTGTACTTCATCCTTTTTCTCACTATTGCTAATGCTTGCTTGACCAGTACAAAGAACCAGCAAGCAAGGATGCTGTGGTTCCTACTGCTTTTTCTCACCACCTCCATTTTCTGGGCCAGAGCAAGAAGCACCTGAACAAGCAGGTTGCAAAGGTGAGGTGGGAGGAACAAATCTGGGAGGCTCTTGTCTGTGAGCCTCACTGGCATGTGTGCCCTCACAGGCCCAGCTTCACCACCTGTTGGTTCCAGCCCTTGTCTCTTCCTAAGCACAATAAAATAACTTACCTGGGAAATACATCATATGTCTTTTTTTACATTTGAGAAGGTAAATTTTTAACAACATACACCATTTCAAAAATTGTGTTTATTTTCTTCTGCACAGCAATTTAGTTCATTACCAGAATGTTGCATGGATGTAGGAATGAGTTTAGGTTGTGGTTCTGTGCACACTTATGTTGACAGTATGTCCTACTGAACTTAGAACTTGTTTCTGACACGACTTGCATAGGATTGCAGTGCTGGGCTACAGTTCTGAAGAATCATATAACTCTTATGGGGACTCTGTACAACTTCTCTTGTACCTGAGAAGATGTACATAGGATAGCACTCTTGTGGTATGTTATATTAAATTGTTTAGACTTTTCAGAGCTCTCATTACAAATCTTATGTATGGTTTTTTTCTTTTTTCCCCCTAGATGTTCTGGGAGAAGCTGTACAACATCTTCCCTTTTACTGAATATCATCAGTCAACAGCTAGCTCAAATCACTGTAAGGTGACTGCATGAGGAATTATTGAAGACATCAGATTTGCCCTCAATGGAGTCTCTTCTTCTTTTCCTTCAGCAGATGTATGATGACATGCTGATAGATGTCCCATTAGAAAAAGATAGTCACAGTTGTGCAGCTCTCCTAAACCTTCCTCTTTTACTGGAATACTGCTCAGCACCAGACAACAGATCTTGTGGGATGTGTTTAAATTCTGTTAAGTTTGATACTCAAAACTCTTCTGCTCAAGATTCTGTAGTCTTCAAGATGGATAATGAGCCCAATATTTGTCAAAAACTGAGCAAATCAAAGTGCCATGTATGGGAAATTGTGTTGCTCCAGCTAACCTTAATCAAGATGATGTTTGCCAAAGTGCAGTCCCAAGTGGCGAGAGCTGAAATAAAACAGAAATATCTAGAGATAATTCAAACTCTCTTGAAAGAAGAAAATGTTGACTCAAAATTAGTGAGTATTCTAAGAGTATTCCACTCACATACCCCACCACCCAAGTTTTGTTGTTTAGGTATCCTTACCTACCATTTCTTTCCTTTCCCCTTTCTTGCAGATCTGTCTGTTACATAGTTCTGATAAACAGCTCTCTTACATGGCTTCCAAAACTTTGGTCTCCCTTGTGCATTTTCAGTTAAAAGAAGAGGTAAGTCATAAGCTCAGTTGGGGATTAGTTCCTGTTTGAATAAAAATGTCTTTTTTGTGATATCGTCTATGTTTATAAGTAGGAGTGTGATTGATTGTTGCCAATGTAACTGATCAGCCTGTTCAAATGAATCAGATCTTCACATTCATGATTTTTAATGTAAGTTCTTATAAACACACAAATGGTCAATTCATTGATCCACTGAGTTTTCATTAACTGAGTGGCAAGCCTATTTGTGAAGCAACCAACTCTTGGAATGAATTTTTTCGCCATTCAGATCCTGTGTTAAGTGATCTATGATTGTGGGCCAGTTTCACATTTTTTGTTGCCTTCCTTTCTTGCTTTAAGGGTGGGAGGGTACCAAAAGATGAAATACAACATTTGGATTTTCAGGAACCCACCAGCCTATGAAAAAGTTGACCAGACTAGGATCTGCTTTGCATGTAATGAGAAACCGTCTTGGGGAATTTCCCAGTGGGACTTCTTGCTGCAGCATCCGGCGTGGCGGCTGGAATCTTTGCAGTGGGTCTGCTGCTGTAACAAGAAGCCTTGTGGGAAAATTCATCCATGTGGGATTCTTGCTGTAGGCGAACCTTATCTATATGTCTGTGTATAATTTTTAAAAATTGCTTATGGCATACTGATGACCGGAAAGGGGGAGAAATCCATTCTCTCTCTCCCCCTCTCCCCGCTTTCCTCTTAACATGCTTTTCTGCTTGGTCTTCTGAAAGCAGTTCTTTCTTGCAAGGGACTCTTTGTAAGTCTGCAGTACCTCAGTTAACCTGAGCAAGAGGTGGGAATGGACAATTACTAAAAGAATTTAACCTGCCTTTCAGGTGCACTGCTCTCAGTAGTTAAAAAGTGTTCTTGGGCTATATTATTCCAGACGGATGAAGGGAGAAGATATAATTTGGATGTGCCCTGTCTGCTCTATAAAAAATAAAAACAGGAAATGGAAAACTGTCTATCAGGGGATCTGTTTCTGTGGCCCATTCGCTTTCCATGTCTGAGGAGCGGAAGAGGTTATGCGTTGGTTGGGGTGGTTTCCCACATAGACCCAATCAGACACAGCACCGTTTGTGCATGCCTAGGTGCCGATACAGATTCTTTCTCATGGGTAGAGCATTTTCCATGCTCAAGATTTCATCCGAGGGTGATTGGTTGTAGCAGCCTGTTCTCCTGCTCACCAGATTCCACCCGTTAGTTCCTTTTGGGAGCCTGTCCCTCACTGCAGTACCAGAATAATCAGACAGAGGGCTTCATAAGATCAGCGAAAGCTCTGCGTATGGGACATTCCCAAGCCTTGGCTGCTGCCTGTGCTGGTGCTGCACTTAAAGCTGCGTCGTTCTTCGCTCGTCTTAATCACAGCCGTGCTGTTCTGGTGCCACTCAGCTGCCCCCTTTTGCTTCAGTCAAAAAGAATGCCTCAAATCTCATGTCTCTGCTGGGGTAGTTAAGGAAACTATTTTCAGGGTTAGGGCCTTATGGGGCAGTTTAGGAGGTTGAGGCTTTGTGGAATTGTTTCAGCTCTGCAGCGGACAGAAACAGGACAGATCTGCTGTTCTGATACATAAGATAATAGGTTTGAAAGAAGGAATCCTAGGAGTTAATGGATGGGTGAAATATATGTAGACCCTTAGTCGGCGCTCACTTTTATGGAGTGACTGTTTTGAGAAAGGTGATGGGAAGTCCCAGTGCTGGCAAGCCCTATTTCCGTAACCACTGCCTTTTCCATCCTCTTTGCTTTGTGACGGCTTGGGAGTGGAGTCACATGGCATTTTCGGAAGCTGCATTTGTTCCAGGAGTTCACTCATCCCTAACATAAAGAAATGCTCTTTTCTTTTTGTTTTTCCAGAGTTCACTGAATAGTGCCTGGGTTACTTTTTATTTAAAGGCTTTGTCGGGATTTCCCAGTAACAGATGGATAGCAGAATGCCTGTGGACTCTTACTTACATGATGAGAGAAATTTTGAAAGATGAAGGCTTATGCAAAGGAGGTACCATTTGAATTGGGATTAAGTTACAAGTTACCAGGAGGGACAGATGAGAACAGCACTAGAGCAGTTATGTGCTGGAAAATAATTGACATCTGTCTGGGAAAAATTAATATTCGAAAGTACAGTATTTTCATGAAGAAAAATGAAAGTATTTGTTTCTTTGCTGAACAAGTTTTTATTTACCAAATTAGCTAATCTGTGTCTGGGTGGTACTTGTAACATCTTTATGCTGGTAATATTGTTACAGGTGACTTGAAGAAGTTTCTCACTCCACTTGACAGTGTGTTTGAAAGCTTTTACACCCGCTTTATGACGTTTTACTCTGAAAGTCCCCAAGATAGTTCAATATCTGAAAAAGCCATAAATGACTTGAGTAGCTTTCTGGACCTCCTTGAAATACTTGTGACCTCCAGAAGTCAAGCACCTCCAAACTTTGTCTGCCAAAGAATGGTATTTTTGAATCCTGCTTGTGTCTTGAGTCTTTCTACCTTGCCTGTTCATGATTTAATCAAGAAGAAATCCATCATGCTGCTTAAAAAATGCATTCTTCACAAAGCTTGCGAAGACCTAGTAAACAAGGTTTCCCCTTCCTTCCACCAGGACTCTCATTTTGACAAAGACAGATCAGCACTTGCTGGTATTATTCTCCAGTTCGTGAATTCTGGGTGGCTGACTAGGTTGTCTGTAAGTCAAACGGCTAGCCACTTTGGTGGCAGTCATGTTAAGCCTGAACTGGTTATCTGCCACAGTCCTGATCAAGTGACCCTAAGAGACGTAAGCTTGCTTCTGCTTAAGGCTTTAGAGATTAAGATACAGGATTCTGTCTCTGAAACCGAAGCCCAAGGTAATTTCTGTTCTAAGTATCTTAACAACCTTACCAGCTGGGGTCCCTTGAGAAGGTGGGTGGAGGGTGATGGGTCATTCACTCCTGGCTCCTCCCAATAGATTGCAACTTCTTGCCACATGAGTCCCTCTCAGATTGACATTTTAGGGGAGGGGCTGATTAGTACTAAGCAGATTTTATTTAATAACTCCCTTTCCTGTAATTGGTAAACTTCAGAGACCTACAGATCGAACAGCATCCTACAGTGAGGCTGGCACTATTGTTTGCCAAAAGATATTGGAAGTAACTTTCTAGTCAGACATTGCCTGTAAGCTTTCAAAATACCCCAGAGCTTTTGTATATATCCTCCAGAACCTTTCTGTCCCAAGACTTGCTCTTCAAACTTTAATCCATAGATCAGTCAACAGATGCTGTAGGTGATTTACAAGGGACAACGTTTGAGGTCTGAGTGAAAAAAGTATTTCTAATGTATTAGGACATTTAGATTCTGGGACATATTGCTATAATAGAGAATGAAAAGAGTATTCTAACAATGTGGTAGATTTTGTCCACAAAAAAGCAAAGTTTTTAAAAGAAATATGTCTTAATTGCATGCAAATGGGGGGTTTTGCAACTGCTGGAGATGTAAATTTGAGTATCGAGTCACCATTAGTCAGACACACCTTGGCAGCACATTACTACAACAACAGCAAAGGGTGCCTAGCTACATCTGCTCTTCATTAGCTTGTTTTCCCTTTAATTAGTCTGTGTAACAAACTATAATGCAAGTAGATGAGGAGGGTGATATTTAAAATGAATTGATGTTACAATACTAGAGCAAAGGCTGTCCAGAGAATTCAAATTTTCTAAACAGTGTGATTTATTACACAATTTGGCAACCAATTCAGAAGCTCCACCTGCAGAAGTCTTAGTACATAGACAGTCATGAAAAGGCTGACTAACGTTGAGGTGTTGTGCAGAGGCTGGTACTCATATTATGTGGAACCAGTTTTGCACATCCAGGGAAACCGTGCATCAGGCTCCTCATGGGTCATACGGCAGAGCATCCTGCGTGGCTTGCTAAATTTTAAACTGGATTCTTTTTTACTAAAGAAAGCACCAGGTTGCTCTTCTTTATACCATCGATCCCTCATTTGCCTCATGCTACCCTGACCCTGTCATCCAATTGTCCTCTCCAGGGAGAGCGACAGGATGTGTGCTTGGGGCTAAATATCACTAATGAATACCAATAATACAGTGGGGGAGAGCCGTCACGGTACAAAGCAGCCTTCCCCTTTGCATACAATTCTATCTTAGCAGTCTTCATCTAACCAGCTGGGATGAAAACTCCCCCACCCCAACTTCTTGTAGCAAACATATCCTGATGGGAGGCACAGCGAGAGAAAGGGCACACAAAGCGGGGGCTCTGTGCATGGCGCGCAGGTGGCGATGCGCTCATACAGTCACCACTTTGACTATGCGGCTCCTGCTTGGAGTTTGTTGCCTGCCAACTCAGTGAGTGAGGGTGATGCAAGGGTTAAAATGCCCTGGGAAAGCCCATGCTGGCTGGCTTTGCACAGCACGACACCTGTGAAGAACCAGGTTATTCCCTGTGGTTCACTATAGGTTGCACAGGTTCTTGTCCAGCCCTCGCTTGTATGTAGATGGCAAAATGGCAGTTTTGCTTTTGACAATACAAGTATTTTTCTTTTCTTTAGCTCATTTGGAGAGTGTTATGGGTAAATTGCTCACTTTCTTAAAAAGCTCTCTGAGATGGTCTCCCTCTATTTGCCCATTTGAACATCCTTGCATGTGGCTTTCTGTGCTGTTTATAGAACAAGATGATGACATGTTGGATGCTGCAAATTCATTACTAACAATTCATTTAAAGTTTGAGAGGTGAGTGCTTTCCTTTTCTGATTTTGGCAAGTTCTGTTTCCAAAAAAATTGCTCATTACAAGCAGGAGGGAAATGACAAGTATTTACCAGCAAACACAAGCATAATGTGCATGGAAATATACAAAGGGGCTGAACTTTGTATTTCAATGTATCATAGATTATCCTCAGTACAACATTTTATAAGATGAATTTATGCTTAGTTTTTTGAACCCCAAGAGCAAACCCAGGAAACTTATGTATTAAATAGTCATACACTAGTCTATTTGCATACAAATAATCAGATTTCTTTTTATTTATTCCTTCTCATGCTGTCAAGGGTTTGCATTATAGGACTGTAAAGAGCAATCCACGTACATCATGTGTTATATCCTTTACATCTCCCTTAGCACAGTTTTATTTCATTCATTCATTCATTTGTTAGATTTCTATCCCATCTGCTTTCTTTTTAAAGAACTCTTTAAAGTAGCTTTCATCATTCTCCTCCTCCTGCTCTCAGTTTTATCACCACAACAACCATGTGAGGCAGGTTGGGCTAAGAGTCTGTTACCGCCCCAGACTCATCCACTTGCTCTATGGCTGAGTGGGAGCAAGAACCCAGATTGCCTAAGTTCCAGTCCCACGCTGTTAACTGCTGCACCACACTAGCATTCATTCATTCATTCATTCATTTAGGAGGCTTCTATGCCGCCCCATTCATCGAAGCCTCGGGGCGGCTCACAATAATAAATAAACACAATATAAAAACAATATAATTTGAGTGGACCTGGCCAAAAATAAATAAATAATATTAACAATTAAAATCACATTTGAATAAAAAGGTCTTCGCCTGGCACCCAAAAAACAAATAATGACGGCGCCAGACGAACCTCTCTGAGGAGCGCTTTCCATAGAAAGCCCTCCTCTGACTACTTGCCCTCCTAATATATAAGGAACAGTTCAGTGGCTGTAGCATATCTTCCCTCTAAATATGCTGACGGGATGGTGAAAAGAAATGAAAACCTTCGGCTGTATCTACATTGATCTGAGTACAGTATCTGTATGTCATCTGCTTAGATACTGAAAACTTTGTTTCCAATGCATTGCATCGCAGCTGGTGAACCTCTGCTTTTTTGGTGTAGTATCATCAGTCTTTTAGCTTTCATAGGGTACAGAAAATCTATTTGCATTGGCCATGCTTTAACTGGAAGTTAAGGAATAGGTAAACAATTTCAAAGAATATGTTTATTAGAAGAAGTTAAACTTTGTACTGGAATACTCTTTATCTGTAGGATAACTTCTGCCCAAAAAGGGGTGGCTACTAGATATTGCCAAAAGTAATGTTGAACAGAAGCATTTGCACTTTATATTTCCATTTGTTAGGTGACTTTGGTAACCCTTGTTAACAAGATAAGGAAGCATCCCATAAACATGAAACATTTTTGTTGAGTAAGACATAACTTGATGTCCAATGAAATGTCAAGGATAGATTAAGGTAATGATTTACTGCTTATACTAGATAGGACATTCCAATTCCATATTTCATTCCTCCATTAGACCAGATGTATTCATTAACTGATAGTACACATGTATAAACACATCTTGGGGATCAGTGAAACTTATCAATTGCAGTGTTTCCAAAAACAGACTATGAAACTTTAAAGCAGCAAGGTCAAAACTTGATTCTGACAAATCCTGCAATTGTAAATATTGCCATTCAGACACAACAGGCAAGTGGTATTTGGCACAAACCTCAGAAAATGACAAACTCATTGTCTCTCACTAATCAATCCAAAGTAAAAATAAGTTAGTCTGTCTAAGTCTGCCATGCGAACATTTTCATGCCAGTTTTTAAATCTGGGGTTTGCCATATTTAGCGCTTTGAAAGGGACTTGGAGGCATGCTGGAGGGTAATGCGTGCTAAATGTCAGTCACATTCAGTGTGTTCATCAGCAGCTTTCTGAACCATCTGTAGTTTATGAACAAGATTCAGAGAGAGCCTCTGTGTTTAATACCTTGCAGAACAGCATACTTTATATATAAACCTATAAGGCCAGAAGGCTGCATTTAGTTTAGTGGATCACAGATTTGACAGGTCTTGTATATAGGTAAAGGTAAAGGTTTCCCCTTGACGTGAAGCCCAGTCGTGCCTGACTCTCGGGGGCAGTGCTCATCTTGGTTTACTAGCCAAGGGAGCCAGAGTTTGTCTGCAGACAGTCTCCGTGGTCGTGTGGTCGGCATGTCAGCTTAATGTGCTGGCGCTTACTCTGACTAAAACCTGGAACTCTCAGGGCTCTTGTGCCTTCTCAGGTTGCTATGGGATTCTTGTTGCTGTTTTATTTGGAGTTATTGTTTCATTGTTTATGGTTTTTGTTTGCTATATGTTCTTTTTAACTTTGTGAACTGCCCAAACAGCCTTTTGGCTGTTGGGTGGTGTAGAAATGGAATAAATAAGATTAGAAGCAAACCAACTCTTATCCTGAAAAATCTATGTATTCTTTGACTAACAGTTTAAGCCAAAGTGAGAGATCAGAGATTAAACCACAGCTTTGTAGTTCAGATGTCATAGCAAACTGTGGTTTAACCAGTCTGGATGTATTTAATTATAGCAGGAGAAGAGAGTACATAGATCTAACATTTATTCTTACAAACTATGTTTGTAGGATGTCTGAATTAGGTGATAGTCACTAATAGATATTGAATACAATATTATGGCTCCGTATGACATTCATTATTTGCTCTGTGTGCACCTGCTAACTTTCTAGGTTCTGGCGTGAAGCTGGCTCTATTTCATACTGTTCAGAGGAAGGAATCCGAGACAGTGTGACACATCAGACTGGCTGCAATCCACATTGCATCTTTTTGTTTCTGCTAAGTAGTATTGCCTTTGACACCACAGTTCTTCTGGATTTCTTAATTTCATCTGAGACCTGCTTCCTGGAGTATTTTGTAAGATACTTGAAACTTCTAGTAGAAGACTGGCAGCATTTTGTGAACATTTCTAAATGTTTCAAGCCTGCATCCAGCAGAGAGCTCAGCATTTCTGTGGAGAAGTTGTCTTCCTCTGTGAAAAGTGTCAGCCACTCAGACTTGAGTTTTCAGAGCACCTCATCTGTTCCCCAAACCTATAATGTGGCACTTTTGACTCCTTCTCTGAACATTTCTTCACCACTGCATGTTGACAATCAATCTGTAAAACCAAGCAAGTCTAACTGTTCACAAGAGTCTGATAACACAGGTTCACTGGGGACTCTTCAAAAGCTGGTTGATTATGAAAGCTCAGATTCTGATGTAGAAGGCATAGGGGAGGAATGTTTCGGAGACATGAAGCAAACATCTTTACATAATAAAATCTGTACAGGTGAAACTGTCCGTATGGATCCGGTTTACCTAACAGAAAACTCAAAGCAAAATACATTGCCTCTGGATTTGAATGCTTCACCCTTTCACTGCAAGATATCCCCAAATAACGCTGAGTTGGTAGAAGGAGTGTTTCAGAGATCACTGAAGTGTTTCCAACAGCTGCAAAAATCAATTTCTAGGCTACATGAAAGAAACCTCTTTCCATACAACCCAGGGCCACTCCTGAAGCTCTTGACTAGAATCAACACAATTAGTAAATAACGCAGAACTGCTTCAAAGCAGTCAGTCTGGGTACATGTTCGTTCCCCAATTAGCATTGTCAGCCTTTGAAATAATGTGTCCTGAAATTGTACCAAAAACTGTGGTGAAAGGGATTCGCCTGTCTATTGTTCAAAAGCTGTCTAACTGGCTGCAAAAAACTTCTTGTAACTACAAATCCATAGAGGTGTTTTAAATGTGAAAGAGTTTGCCCTAAAGATAGTCTTGCCTCTGGTATGTATACTTGGGGCTTTTAAGGGTTGTTTTTCCGTAATGGTTGTTTTAAGTAAAGCCTTGTGTTTCTGGGTAAAGCCTTGTGTTTCTGGCTGTTTTGCTGTCTTTGAGAGGGAGAGATCAGGATGGGGGAGGGGGTCCAGTATTGGAGAGGGCAAAAGCAGACCCTAAATAAATGGCACAAATCCTAGTTAGATTGCAATGGCTTGTCAAATGGGAAGGCATAGCTGAAGGGGGTTAGCCTTATTTCTAACTGCCACCCTTCCTAACAGGCTTCAGGATGGGAGCATTTGGCCACTCCCATAGCAGGCTGAAGCTTACGCTTGATTATTGCACTGTAACCTGCCAGGGGATCAGTGAACTGCTTTGCAATTCCATACAGTGGGAAGACCAAAGGGCACAGCTGGCGGGGGGGGGGGAGTGTTTTGCTTGGTGGTTGAAGGTACATAGGCCTGCACATTTTATTTAGCAACAGTGCTTAATGCTCAGTACAGGGCCTCCAACCTTGCTAGGCTGGTGGACACATTTTGCAGTTTGAGTGTTGTGGGCTCTCTCACAAAAAGGCTGCCATTTGGAGCTTGCCCATTCACAAAAGAGCTTCCATTGTACGAACTAGTTAGAAAACAACCATTTCTCAGGAGGCTAAAAGTAACTTGTCTAGAACCTATAGGACAAGGCAGGGGTGGGGTTTGAATTCCCAAATATAACTGCTTTCTTGAACCCAATTTTCTGCTTTCATTTCATAAAAGGCAAAGTGATAAGGCTCAGCCAAACAACTTGGCCTAATGTTCTATGTGGGGCCATGGGGCATTTTTGGAAATATAAATGGCTCTGGAGACTGTATGTCAGCCTGTTAGTTTGTCCGTTTAAAAATAAATTTTAAAAATAAAATGAAGGTGGGTAGGGAGCCTGGGCCACAAAAAGGGCTCATGGACACCATACAGGAGGCCTCCAGCTGCAGAAATAGCAGCCCACAAAGCCAAATACATTTCATCGCTCACAGATGGTGGCCTACCAGGGGTTTGTCTTTGCTTTCTGCAGAGAGATTGGCAAGCACTTTGCAAGAAAAGATTTGTGGCTATTGGGTTATATGCAGCTTGGTTGGTCACAAGCTCTTCAAGTTAGATTTGCTTTAAACGAGTAAAGATGCCAATGCAGGCTAAAACTTTTGCAGATTGCAAAACGGCGTGGGCATTCATTGAGGGGCCAAGGGGGTAAACAGTGCTGTTGTTCATAAATGAAGTTCTTCTCTGTGGTCTCTGCACATTGCACATCAGGCTCTGTACCTGTGTGGAGCCTGTTGCTGGGAAAAGCACTCCTGATACCCATGAAACGGCATTCATGCCCTACTTGCACATCATAAGGTGTCAGATGGAAAGGTGTGTTCCACGCAGCAAAATACTGTTGCTTAGGAGTTTCCATGCAAAAGTGCTTCCTGGAGAAAGGATACTGGAGTGAGCAGCGAGACATTCTTGCCTACCAATCGCTGTGCCTTTATTACTAATCTGAAGGCGTATTACTGCTTTGCACAAAAAAATATTCTTGTAAGTTAATTGAGATTCTCTAAGGTATGAATAGGCAGCCTTCTAGATAGTTTGAATTCAAAAAAGAATAATTGTTTATATATTTTTACACTTCAGCCCTACTAATTGTAGTCTTTTATGCTTAATGTCTTTTATGCTGCGACCCATTGTGCAGCCCAAGTACCTTGCTGGTGCATGAATGTGACTTTGAAATCTTCATAATCGGGCAGTGCTGTGACATGCTGGCGCACGTGTATATCTTTTTCCAACTGAATTGCTGTCAAGTATACCTCCTGAATTTGAAGTGATGGGATTTTTATTCCGATAGATGGAATTTGCTGCTGTTGATAGTTGATATCATTCCAAGCATTTGTAATACATAGAGAAGGCAATTGTGTGGTCAGTTCCTGGATAACATCCAAGGGACTGCGGCATTTTTGGAGCTTTGGAGGTACAGCCTTGGCAGGGGGACTCTGGAATCCAGACCTTCCTAGTGCCACTCACAGCTACTGCAGAAAGTGCTGCACAAGCATCGCTGGATCAGTTTTAAAAGCATGTTGATTGAGGAGGAGAAGGGAAGAGAGCCAAATTATGAAGAACCTGATGGGTTCCCCAGGTCTGTCCTCACCAACATGCTTATGCTAGGTGAGCTCTGAGGCCTGCCTAGAGGAGGAAAAATCAGAGTACACAGAATGAAAATCACCTCTCTTGTTCTCCCTGCCCCCCCCCCCCCCCCGGCACTAGCCTAACTATTGGATATTTGGAAGCCTCTAACCATCAGGGAACAAGACCTGACCTGCAGAATTTTGCCCTTAAAAACAGTGAGAGCGAATCTGCATTAGAGGCAGCTCTGTTACATATATGGTCTTGGTACAATATATTCGCTCAGCTAACCTGATGACCAAAGAGAAACAAACAGACTAGAAAACTGAAAGAACGGGGCAGAAGTGCAATCACCATGAAAATGGGCATGGGAGGAGCTTCCTCTCACTCTGCCCCCCACCCCCCTGTCTCCTTTCCTTCACCACTGATTCCTTCTGCAAGCTGCCAGTAAGGCAGAAGTGGGCAACCTGTGGCCCTGAGAGGTTTTGGACTGCAACTTTCATAGGCCTTTGGATAATTGCAGGCCAAATGACTCCGCTGCCATTGCAAGCTTATTCAAGCTGGCAACTTCCTGGATGGATGGATTTCCAGGAGTAGCAGCTGTTCCCCCGGCTTTCCACTTCCAAAGGGAGAAAACAGTGCAGTGCTGAGTAGGGGGTGGGGGTGGGACTGGGGCTTCCTTAGGCTGCAGTGGAGGGGCAGATGTCTAACACTCCAACAGCCTGGCAATTATCTGCAAGAGTCACTTGGTCTAATTCTGGCCAACCAGTGAGGACCTGTTTGAGATCCATGGCAGGCAAACCTAGGGAGAATGCAGACCTTTTGTTAGTGCTGCATCAACGATGCCCTGCCCACTTCTCCCCCAGCTGATTTTTTTCTAGCACATGTGGAGGTTTAGCAGAAAATGTTAGTAGATGTGCCCTTGCCATGGGTTGGATTACAGTTTTCCTTTCTTTAAAAGGCCTGGGGGCCATTGATTCAAAAATCACTTTGTTGGCTAGCCTAGACTGAGCTACCAAAAGCAGCATGTAAACGTATGTGGGGTTTTTTTGCACATCTGTACCTCCATCATTCCCCGGGTATACTTGTATAATGCTCTTTCTATTTTGTATTATGAAATAGCTGAAAGCATTTGTGCATGCTTCCAAGCCAAGCATGGAAAAGCTTGGCCATAGAGAAATCATTTTTATATGAGAGGCAGAAATCTACACTGGTTTTCATAACTGGAATTATCAAGTTGATCTGTTTGGCAACTCACTGACATGGCCTCATTTATACATTACATTACAAAGTTAAATAAATTACATTACAAAGTTAGTTGTTCTTTCATCTTTATGCCAATGAAGCAAACATGATGATCTTGGAAAAAGCAGGTTGAGAAAAGCATAGTTGAGACATTTCTTCCATTGAAAGAATTCTATTTCTGACCTAGCCAATCTACTTTTTTCTGTGTTCATTCTGTATGGGACACGCTGAGAGACTGTGGGGCACTGAGCAAAGCTTGATGGGTGTGGTTGGTGCTGTCTAACATTTTGTTCTACCATTTATTTATGTTACCTGTTGGTCATTTTATTGTAATGGCCACCCAGACAGCACAGTGCTAATGGGTGGCCTTCAAACAAATCTAAAAATAAGAGATACAGGGTTTCGGGGAGACAGATGCAGAGAACAGGGAATGTTCAATTTCTGTAGTACATGGGGATGCTCCCTTACAAGGCCCAGTGGTGCTCTGGGAAGGTTCAGAGCTAGAACTGCAATAGCAAGACCGTTGGGATAGGATTGGAAGAGCCAACGTCTTTATCTCTAGGGATCATTTTATCTTCAGATAAGTGTCTGTGGGCTAGAAGTCCCTGTCCCACTCCACCACTGAGTAAGCTCACATCCTTGAGACCCTTCCTTGAATTACATCTGAAGCCTCTGCTAGGACAATGTCCAGGGGAATTCTTCCTGCCAAGGAGCAGTAGATACCAACTTTGGACATGGCCCCAAAGAACTTCCAAGTGCATTTCCCCCTTTAGTACAAAAGACCTTTGTACTAAAAAGGGCTTGGGGAGGGATTACATGCAGCAACCCCCTAGGAACAAGTTATTGAAGAGAGGTGCTAACTCTACAACAGGCTTTTGTCAACTTGTTGCTTCATTTCAGGTATTTTCCTTTGTGCTGCCCTTGTCACAGAATCATAGTAAATAGAGTTGGAAGGAGCCAGAAGGTCATTGAACCCAACCCCATCCTCAGTGCAGGACACCTCAGTGCTTCGTGAGACAGAGAGAATAGTTTCACTGTATATGATAAGGTAAAGGTTTCCCCTTGACATTAAGTCCAGTCATACCTGACTCTAGGGGGTGGTGCTCATCTCCGTTTCCTAGCCGAGGAAGCCAGCGTTTGTCCACAGACAGTCTCCGCGGTCATGTGGCCGGCATGACTAAACACTGAAGTGCACGGAACGCTGTTACCTGCCCACCGAAGTGGTACCGTTTTAGCTACTTGCATCTGCATGCTTTCGAACTGCAAGGTTGGCAGGAGCTGGGACGGAGCAACGGGAACTCACTCCATTGTGCAGATTCGAACCAGCGACCTTTTGCTCTACCAGTTCAGCGGTTTAAACCACTGTGCCACCTGCAGTCCCTGTATATGATAGCTATACCCATTTTAAATTGTTAATGTGCAGAATTCCTATTTTTCTGATTACCTCATTATGCAGCTGATTGCAATTTAGATCAGAACTGGTATAGGTTGTACATCTCTTCCTTCTACAGGGTTCTAGATCATCCTCATCCTGGTTTCTGATTTCATCTCCTGTGCTCTGACTGTCATTGCAAAATTTGGCTCCTCATGTCCCAGTTCTCATGTGACTTCATCAGAAGTCCTCTCTCACTTCTGGCACCAGATTTTCAAATTACCTTTCACTTGGCATAAGCCTGCCAAATTAAAATATTTTCACTTGCAGATTT